AACAGCATAAGACTATGTGACATTCACTAGACATGTCATGCTGTCATACATCTCTCACCTGTTGCCCCAACCCAGCCATAATTTCTCTTCCTATCACTTCTTCTATGCTCATATTTCCCTTCCCTCTTTTTCAAGATAGTTCCTACTTTGTCCTCAATACTCTGTTCAGGTACCACATTTTCTTTATACAGTAAATGTCATTGTCCTTTCTGGATTCCCTTAGCCCTCTTTGTTTCAGCATTGTATTGCATTGAGATAATCTGTTTAAAGTGTTGACATTCTTTTATTACATCTTACATAATTTGATGATTTGCCACAGTAGATACTCAATAAATGTTGCTTGAATTAAACAGGATAAATGCACAACATAGTTCACTAAATGAAAATTGGCTTATGGATCTCAACTCAGGAATCAAATAGTTTAAAGTAAATCCAATTTGTAACACTTACTAGTTATGTGACCTTGGGCAGGTCACTGTCAAATGGAGGTAATCATATTTCACAGGGGGGGTGAAAGGGTTAAATGGGACGGCCCATCTCATAAAAAATGAGATAAGTGCTAAGCACTGTTATCAATGCCAAATTCAAGGTAGGTTCTCAATTTCTAAATTGTACTTAAAATTTTAACGTTTTATTTCATTGACTAGTTGAATATTATTTTCTAGATATGTTATGTTATGTACAAGTTAAAAAATAAAAGGAAAGCTTTTTTTTTAAATTAAGCAAATCAAAATGATAACCTTCCTGTAGGAAGTGATGGAAAGTATGGAAAAACAATGACTTTAGGTAGGATCAGAGATGTATTTGTAGCGGTCAACTCTGGATATAAAATAAATCAAACTTCCCCTCAGCCACTCTTTCAGATACCCAATGTGAGAGATGACTCATACTAGTCAAGTGATACAGAATACAAATTTAGTTTATTTTGACACCCAGAATGGGTTTGATAAAGTTTTTGAATTGCTGCTGTTAGGAAAATGAAGGAAAGAAAATGCTAGTACCTGGCTAGAAACATCTGTCTCATCTCATGCCTCCTGCTCTTTTGCAATATGGCATGGCAGAAAGACCCAGAGTGCAAAGCCCAGAGATATTGGTCTCAGTTCAAGAGACACAACTGACTAACAACTATCCATGGGAACTTGGACAGGATAATAACCTCTTGGAGCTACATGAACAGAGTGTACATAAAATATTGGAACAGCAGAATTATTTTTACTAGGCGTCTGGCATGTAAAGGAAGTATTTCTACCCTTAAATTTGTTAGCACGTGGGAAATTTTCAATAAATACTTGTGGAATATATGGCTTCAACTGAAGAATAATTAATCAATGGAAACACTGTTAATAAAAATAATGTGGGCTTTGGAATCAGAAAAGCCTAAGTTATGACTTTAATTTTGTTGTTTTTTTCACCCATAATATAAAATTAATCATATATACCTCATAGGTTGCTTTCCATGTGTACAGTGCTGTCATAATGCCTGCCACACCATAGGCATGCACAAATATAGCTACTTTATTCCTTATCATTGTCTAGAGAACTGATACAGACATTAAATAAATAAGATAAAATGAAGAATTAAAACATAGATTTATTCTTGTTCTTTACATTGATGTAGCCTTTCACTGTTTTCAGGGGTCGTCCAAACACTTTATGTCATCTGATGCTACTGTTATTTTCAGAGATGGCATTGTTACAGGTGATAGAACTGCATTTAGGGGTTCTGACTTGTCCAAGCCAAAACAGAAAGTGAATTATCCAGAATGACATCCTGGATCTAACAATTCTTCCTTCAGTGTTCTTTCCAGCACAATAGCTGCCTCTATTAGTCAGAGCTGGGTAACTGTGGGTATTCTTCATGCTTCTGATGTTAGCCAAGAAGATTATCTTCCAGGTAAGGATTTTGTGAATATTTTCAGGCACATCAGGCTTACCTAAACATGTTTATTATTATAATTATTATTATAAGAAATACCAGAAGTGCTATATTAGCCCTCTATTTATCAGTGTTAAGAGAAAAATTACTTGTTTGCTCTAACTAGTAGTTGAGCATTCACGTTTAAGGGGAATGAGGTGCTGCAGCTAATATCTGGAATCCAAGTGTCTCATTCTTCTCCTGATCTAAAACCACAACTGTAATATTTTGTCGTCTCATTTGCCAATTTCTTCGTATCAGTCCTTTGAGAGCTATGTATCTTCTAGTCCCACATACTCATGACTTAACATTGCAGAGTCATAGTTCAGTCTTGATATCCGCCAAGGGCCTGTGTGTTGAAGGTGTGGTCCCAGCCCGTGACACATTTGGGAGGCAGTGGAACCTTTAGGAGGTGGAGTCTGGTGGAAGAAGGTTAGGCCAATGGGAGCATGTTCCTGAAGGGGATATTGCAATGCAACCCCTGCTGTGAAGAACTATGCTACCATAGGCTCAAATCAACAAGGCCAAGAATCCATGGATGAAACCTCTAAAATGGTAAGTCAAAAATAAGGCTTTTCTACTTTTAGGTAAATATCTCAGGTCATGGTGGCGGAAAGCTGACATACCCAGAAACGGCTAATGTGATTATAATAGAAACCCAATGATCTGTATGTCTAAAATGTTCTGAGACCCACCCATTCCAGGTTTCATCACCTCCTAGGCTAACCACACATACACACTGCAAATATCCCTCAGTGTCCCAGGGACAGAGAGTTAAGGAACAATAATGGTGTCCACTGTTCAGTTTCTATACCCCAATAGGGAGCTAAGAACTTCAAATTTATCACCTCCAATCCAGGAAAAACTCATCATATAATGTTCTAAATGGTGAAATCTTCTCAGCTGGAATCACTCATGGAGGAAACAGTGGAATTACTGCATGTCTCAATTGATGTTTTGTTCCTACATTATTACAAATATATTTTTCAATATAAAAGGCAACACACACTGACTGGAGGATCAGTTTGTGAGTTTTAAGATACAAAATGAAAATGTTAGGGGCCAGGGATTTAGCTCCGTGGTTCAGTGGCCTGCCTCGCAAGCGCGAGGACCTGAGTTCCATCCCCGGTACCCCACACACACATACACACACACAAGAAAATGTTCAAATATGTATCTTTCTCCTAGGAAGCCTTAGCATAAAACTTAAGAAATAAGAATGCATGTTGTTTGCTTTTTATCAGACATATTATGCAGCTAGCTACAGTATTTAAAAGAGGCAGAATAGGAAATCTTGATTAGTTTTTTAAAATCAAAGATAACTTGAGTCATTTGTAGGAAAATGGATATACCTTGAGACCCTAATGTTAACTGAAATAAGTCAGACACGAAAGTTGAAAAAAAGGAAAAATAATTCACCAATTCATTATTTGAAAAATTTAAAACCTTTTCAAAATTGACTAAAAACATTTTATTTCAGACAAATATTTTAAAATTATTATTATTGTTGTTGTTATTAATTATTTGGAGGGTAGAGACCGCATCTCACTCTGTAGTTTAAGCTGGCCTTGAATTCACTATGTAGTCCAGGCTGGTCTCAAACTTGTGGCGATCCTCCTGCCTCAGCCTCCTGAATACTGGGATTAGCTTATTCTTTTTTCAAAGAGAAATTACGTGAGTTTTTACAAACTATGTTTAAATTCGTTTGTTTCTTATGTGGTTCAGAATATCTGTGTGTAAATGAGTTAGATTGTATATTTTATATCTGCTAAATCTCAATCTAATTTATAATTCTAATTTTGTTTGTATTGCAAAATCATGAAAATATTTAGTGAAATGATAGTACTTGAAGGCAGTGTAGCAGCCATTTCTGGTTTATTTTATAAATGCTGGCTTTCTGCATTGTTTTTCCTACATTGAAAATAAATATATTAATCCAATCTGTCGCTACTTTTCAAATAAAGTCATAAATACTCTTCTGAGGAACAAGTTGTTCAGCAATGTTTTAGAATATAAATCCCAAGTATTTTACCATCAGGCTGTGAAGTAAGAATTCAAAGGCATTTTATGTTCGTCATGATAATCTAGAATTTTATTTGATTCCAGGTAACTTTGGACAATAGACATGATGAAATGTTTTCTCTTGAATAAATAACACTTAAATTACACCAACAAAATAAATGTACTGTGGGTTTACTACATTGTAAATATTACAGAAGTACTACTTTGCTCTAGTAATTTAATGACTGAAGCTACATTTAATAACAATCTTACCAGTACTTCTATACAAAGTATTATACAGATTACTAACGAAGATATTACAGCAGTTGCAAGGATGTTACCAGCTCAACAAACATCTAACAATACGATATTCTTCTAAGAGGAAAAGTAATAATGTTAGATCTACAGACAATTAAGAGTTATGTTTTCCACTTGAAACACTGGAAATAAGAATCTAGGTAATCTGGTATATTAATTCATATTATCACAAGAAAAAGTTTCCTTTCTGGGGGACTCTGATCCCCAGGAGACCTAGTCCAGTAAGTTTACATGAAGAGAGCTTTAAGGATGTCACAGCAATGTAAAGAAACTCTCCTGTCTGAAAATTACTGATTGGTAATCCGCTGCTTAAACATCTGACTTTTAAAAAACCTATTTACATACATTCAGCCCAAATCAGTAGAGAGAATGTTTTGTTTATATTACAATAGGCGTTGTCAACGTTTCATCAGAAGGCCAGTGCAAGACAATTGTGAATAGCCATTGCCCAGCATTTAGGAGATTTGAAAATATCATACAAATATACAGTTAGAGTATGAGAAATCTAATTTTGTGCACGATATTGGTAGTCTCTTTTATGGATAAGAAATGGCAAAAAATAATCAACAGGACAGTAATTAGAGTGTTCCTCATCCAGGGCCTGATTCTCATTTGGTGGTTGGGCCTGTGTTCCCGCAGTGTCAAAATTCCTTGACATTTAATAAAAGGCAGACCTGACTCAAACTACCAGGAGGCTTGAGAATTGTCTCAGTTGCAGCATGTCTGCAGTGTTGCTCAGATCCATGTTTCTCTTACATATGTTCACTATGTAATGAAAAATAAATGGTTCTTGGAAGCAGCCTTACTTGTCTAAATGAAGCTGTTAGTCTAGGTCTGAATCACTACTCGGAAGAAACTGAGTGGGTTGGGAATTTGGCCCTTCCTGAAGATGAATGATGGCAGAATGCATGGTCAGGACAAATGTTATCCTCAGAGAAAAAGTAGACCACTCTGTTGCCAGAGCCTATAAATACTAAAATTTAAATCATATTTAAACTAATGGATCTAGTTAAGGGACTAGTTAACGAACGATGCTAATGAATGGTAAGTCTAATGAGTATATTCATTAGGGAGAACATTTTAGTCACTAGGATTAGGAGATGATATGGGAAGCGTCAAAATGAATCCAACTAATTTTAAATGTTTTTAAATGAAGGTAGTATAACACATAGATGATGATATTTTACAGGTGTTTCTTAAAATATCAGTAAGCACCAAGTTTAGTGCTATCAGCCCCATTGTCCCTTAATTTTTATATAGGATTTAGGTCTTAAAAGCATAATACACTATTAAACCTACATGACAGTCACACAAATACAGTTTCAAAAGTGTATCCTGGGATTTGTTTTATACCTCTAAGAATTTCATCTCCACTAGGTCTTCACAGTTGTGTGATGAGATTTGGTACTGCCTGGTGAACTCAAAGACATGTGGATTAATATTCAGGATGATGCAGAATAAAAGACTGGTAATTCTTAAATGGAAACTAGAACCTGGCAAGTTTTGTTTGTCAGTAACCTTATCTCTTTCTAAAGATTTTTTTTTTAACCCCCCAGCACTCTGAGCCTTCATTTACATATTACAGAAGAGCAAAGTGAGAGAACCAGCAGGCAGATTCTAGCTGTATCCCAGCATGGTCCATAGACAACATTCCATCTTAGACCATCAATTGCCCCATCAGGCTGCTTGGGATGACTAGAGCAAAAAAATGACAAGATAGATGCTAGCTTTGCAGTTTTCATGATATGCAGGCCTCAGGACCCTGTAGGACCCACTCTTTACCTGTATAAGGAAGAAAGATTGTAAGTGAAATTTGACAGGATCAAGTGGCTTCTTAAGTACTTCTTTTCCTACTGAAAAGGGACCTAATTCAGAGCACTTATGGCACCATTAAGGAAAGAGAGACTGTGGTATTCAAAGAAGGAAAGCCATCTTCATCCTTATGAAGGGCATGCGAACAAGTACGGCTCACACATCCCAAGTGTGCTGGCTCTTGGTTGCCTGTATCACCTACTTCTTGATTCAGCCTCCTTAGCCACATGACATAGATGTGGTGGTCCTGTTTCAGCATGGTGTGTATAATACTAAAACTGGGATCATGCTACCTAGACAGGCAATTGAAAAGTACTACAGTTTGGGGGTTTTGAAACTACTTTCCTTTTAATGATTTACATCTCCATAAACTTGATAGACACTAGGTGCTCAGAAACCAAAACACTCTTTATTTTCTCACAACACTGTAAATACAAATGTTTATTTGAGTGTCTGCCATTGATTATTCCTTACTAAACACTGGTCTTATGTAATACCTAAAGGCTAATTTATTAATATTTGACCCAATCTCCTAAAGGGGACAGCTTCTTCTGCATGTTTTATGATCAGAATTTTTATCAACAAGATTTCTGGAAGAACTCAATTTTAGAAACTGCATTCATGTGCAAGTGTGCAGCAAGTGGTACAGTTTATACTTGGTCACAGTTTTCTCACTTTATGACATTGCAGCAACAGTTACAAGATAGAAAACACACATATACACATTTATATTCACACTCACACAATATAATTTTACTGATCCAGACAATACTTTTTTTTTTCAATTAAAAAAACGGAGAACTACTGTTTGGCCACCAGGCATGAAATCTACTTAAACCCGGAATATAAGAATGCAATACTCTTCAAGTAAAACAGCAACTGCACAGTGATAACAATATACATTAAGATCGACACATGCTGTTTTAAGAGGTCCAGTAATAGCTAACAACTAAAGAAAGTCAGAGATGTCAGCCTAAAAAAGTCAATATGCTTTCTCATTTCCATTCTGATTACAATCCATTTACCAATAGAACAGCTATGGTGCAGAAGATGATAAATGTCCTTCTATGAAAATACAGGGCTTAACAAATTTGTGTCAATAAATTCTGCTCAATACTTTGATAATCTTCAAGTTCTTCTTGTTGTTTTATCAGAAAAATAAACTTTTACTGTTATTTCAGTGTCAAATTAAGATGGAGATATTTGAAGAAATATTAAGGTCTCTAAAATGTCATAGACAGTGTTTTTAAAAAGTGGTCTCATTGGCATATATCCACTGCTGTGTTCCATTGTTCCCATAAAAGTCAACCTTTCAGTTTTGCTAAACCAGACAAATGTAAATAACACATAATAAACACTGATACACAGCTCACAGGACACAATACATTTTACAAAAATCTCTAGTTTAGTACTATAACTGTTGTAAAAATGGACATCTCTGATACTATGGACAGATACATGTCACATAAGAATGAAAGTTGTGATTGCAAAGGCATTACTCATTTGATGGCATTTTTCTATGGGTACTTGGACTTCAAATTGTGTAGCCAAAGGTTTCCCTCCTATTTCACTGAGACTCTGAAGAACTATTCAGTCACTTAAGCAACAAGCTTTCTTCACTGTAAACCCCTGGAGAATGGAGTTTGAGTACCTAAACTATTGAAATGTCAGTGAACTAATAAATGAGCATGGTGACAATCACCTTTTCACGGAGTATGGTAAACTTAAAAAAATATAACCGATGAGACGACAGACTCTTCTAGATTTCGAGCTTAAAAAAAAAAATTATTTTCCTGCGCTGCCAGGCAGGCATCAGGCTCACAGAGCCTCGGCAGACGTGTCTGTGGATACAGACATGGTCACCTTGGCAATCTTGACTGTGCTCTTGATGCAGCTTTCTGCGGCCCTGTGAACACTGGCTGTGTTGTTTGCGTGCTTGTGCAGGCAGTCCGAGTCCCCCATGCTGTTATCCAGAGGCTGTGCAGTGCCTTCACAAGAGGGAAACATGCTCCGGAAAGCATGTCTCAGGTCCTTGCTCCTCAGAGCATAGATGATGGGGTTCACGGTGGAGTTCAGCAGGCAGAGCATACTGCAGAAGGCAAACACCGTCTTAATGAGCTTGTTCATCTTCCCAAAGACATCATATACCATGATTGCAAGGAGAGGGCCCCAGCAGATGATCAGGACCACCAGAATCAGGACCAGGGTCTTGGCCAACCTAATGTCCATGCGGGCTTGGTCCGGCCGGGTCACCTGTACCTTTCCATCCTCTGATGTGTGGATGATGATGCTCTTCTGGGTTCCGCGCTGAATCATGCGGACTGCATGGCTGTGAGCCTTCCAGAGAATGTACATATATGCATACACGATGAACAGCAGCAGCACACTGGTGACCCCAATCCAGAACATCAGGTAGGTTTCATCAATGAGAGGGAAAATATCTGAGCAAACGGACTGCAATTTCTTGCAGTTCCAGCCCAGGAGAGGCAGCACAGCAATTACAATAGCTATGGTCCACATCAAGCAAAAGGCCACCACAGCCTTGGGCCTAGTAACGATCCTCTTGTAGGCCAGGGGCCTGTGAATAGATATGTACCTGTCGATGGCCGTGAGGAACAGGCTGCCCACAGAGGCAGTGAAAGAGGCTGTGACCCCACCCAGTTTGAAGAGAAACACGTTGGGGCTATCTTTGCGGTGGAACACATGGAAGTCAATGAAGCTATAGACAAAAATGACACTCCCTAGGAGATCTGCCACTGCCAGGCTGCCGATGAAGTGGTAGGAAGGCCTGCATCGGAGGCTGCGGGAGTGGAGTATGACGCAGAGGACCAGCAGGTTCTCCAGAACTGTGAAAGTGCCCAGCGTGAGTGAAAGCACAGCGATGGCCAGTTGCTGGCTGGGGTTCAGGATCATGAAGCACTCCATATCCATGAAGTTCTCCCCACACTGGATGTTCTCATCGTTCTCTTTGTAGGATGACAGAGATTTGTTGTAGAATTCTGTAAGGTTTCCTGGGTCTGCTGGGACCAACTGGGCATTGTCTCCTGCAGTCATCTTTTCTTGGAAGGGACTGCCCCTATAGGAAGTTAAGGGAAATTTCTGTGGAAAGTACCCTAATTTGGATGCCATGTCGCCTTTAATGTCTTCGTACTGGATGTCATTTGAGCCCACGTAGAGAAGGTCTGTGGTGATGGTTCGGAAGGTGGTGTCTGCAAGGCCATCTAGGATCGACTTCATAACCTCAGTCTTCAATTAGGCCAGATTCAAAATGACTGAGAAAGAGACAGCAGGATGGAGTCCTAGCAGGAGGGAAAACAGATAAGCTGAATGGTGAGAAACCCCGGAGGATAATGAAAAGAAGCACTGCAAACGCCATACAAATGCAACATCGTGGTATTCCATCCCTGGCTCTCAACATAGGTCAAGTCCTTATAGATTCAGTCAACACAATGAGTCAGTCACTGAGTTAGAAGAGAGCCCCCCAAAGACAGAGAATGAAATGGCACCCACCAGAAACACATGACTTTTATTACTTAAATTCTTTGGATTGGAGTGACTGCAAGAGTTCTGAATGGACGGCCAAGGTCCAAGAGCCCAAGCCATGTGCACTTCCCAGGGTGTATTTACCACTTGGCCTCTGCTACCACACGCACCATCCTGAATTGATGAGGCTGGGGAAGGCAACTCTGTATCCCGTGATCTCTCATTTGGAAGGTTACCTCATCAGACAGGTAAGACTAAAGCTATGAGACAACCAAAGAATAGGACAGTGTAGAGGAAGGGTTGAGCTGTGGAGTTTGTGTGCTAACTGTAAAGAAGGAGAGTGCTGAGAACCAGATGCAGCTCAAGGCATGGGATGATCTGCTTCACCCAGGAGCAAGTTTCCTCACCCAGGGAAAGGGAGGTTTGGACCAAGCTGTGGAAGACCAAGACCTTTAACACCAGGGAGAGTAATAATGGAGGATGCCTTCTGACAGACAGTATTCTGTATACCACAAGCACACCAGTGACACTGGTGTAACAGAGGAAAGGAGACAGCCCTGGTGGTGCCTAAGCTTTTCCAAGTAAATGGCACTGGAAATAAGGATAACTCAAAGGAGGGGGTCAAATTTTAAGGGCTTTTCAACTCTAAGCTAAGCAATTTGTCATTGTTTCTAAATCAACAGCCAGAGAACTGATCTCACCATTTATAGATGTTTATTTAAAAAGTAACTGCTCCTCTCATTTTTTTTTTTTTGCTAAGTTGCCCAAGCTGCCCTTGTGACCTTCTTGCCTCAGCCTACTGAGTAGCTGGATGCAGGCATGTGCTACTGCAGCAGGCTAGTCATCTCTTTAGTTTATAAAAACATTGTAAGTAGAGAGTGCTAGACTGATAAAGTAATTATAAAAGCTAATATTTTATTGTCATTTGTTGTTCCTAAACATAACATACTATACTGCAGAGAGTGGAACAGACTGCCAGCATCTTGAAACAAATAAAAAAGTTCTTGGTTTTCTTACTAAAATATATAGATCCAACCTATTTGAATAATTCATTTATTAATATATTATGCATTCAACAAATTTTGAGCATCTCCTACGTACCAAGAACTCATGTATTAAATACCAGTGTCTTGACAACATCAAGAAGGAATCCCTGTCCCTAGGAAGTATAAAGTCTAGCAGAGGAGACACAACTGCCCCTTCAATTATGAGCGGGCATGATGTGGTATGAGCTACACCTGGGGACCACAAGCTACCTTGGCGCACCCAGTCCAGGTGAAGGAGCTTTCCCCAAGGCAAGGATGGTTATACCAAGAAATGTGTAGGACTAATGTGGGTTGGGACAAGACCCAGAGTCAAAGAAAGAATTTTTAAAGTAATTACAAAGTGCCATAATGTTTTCAAAAATAGTAATTTGCAATAGGCACAAATCACTAACTGTGGCCTATCTCCTGACATTTTTCCATCTCCAAGTACAAGCAACAGCACTGCTCATCAAAATTAGGACACTTGCTTTCTGACCAGTTTTACTGCCTTTCTCTAGTCCTTGTCCTTTTGATCACTATCCAGAGCTGGTATATCTTCACAAACATAGGGCTCAGTATGTGGCTCCCTTGTTTTAACCTCTCTGTCCTAAAGATGAAACATAAACTCTTACACAGTTTACCCTTTCAGGCTCCTGCTCTCTAAGTTATGTGTTTCAGTAGATCCAAGCTTTCAGATTCTGACCCTCACTCTTGTCCCTAATCCTCCCCTTATGCCATTTCCCCAGAACATAAAACTTTCCACTTTCTACCTCCATATACAAGAACAAAGCTCTGTAAAAATCTTCCTGAGAACTATCTCTATAGGGCTTTTCTTGCTACCCCTGGCCTCACATCTAGCTCTACCAGATAAATTCTAGTACCACAAACACAGCAATCAATTGCTTCTCAGCTCAGTGCCTGTGGTCCCACTGTGCCTACACTATTCTGCCCAAACACTCTGTCTCTCTGTCTGGTTAACTCCCCCTGACAGTTTGGTGGCCCTGTTCCCCCTAACTCCCTTCCTGTTCTAATGAAGTAACCTCTTTAGGACTCCTAAGATAATTCAAATAGAGTTCTATTATAAGACTTACTAAATTTTCTAGTGTTTCTGTGTTTGCATCTGTTCTGCCTTTTCCTCCCACCCACCAGAAAGAACCTTATTGGGGACCTTATTTATCTTAGTATGTAACTCCTAGCATTTAGTTATATATGTGTGTGTATGTGTGTGTATATATATACACACACATACACACACACACATATATCCAAAATAGCTCTTTTCTACCTAAGGTTGGATGAGGCACTCTTGCAAACAAGAAATAAATAATCACATTTCTTGAATCAAGGTTTCTAACCCAAGGAACTGCTCAACCCACTTGTGCTATAAAAACATTCTACAGGTAAGGTTTATGTGTGTGTATGTGTGTGTATATATATACACACACATACACACACACACATATATCCAAAATAGCTCTTTTCTACCTAAGGTTGGATGAGGCACTCTTGCAAACAAGAAATAAATAATCACATTTCTTGAATCAAGGTTTCTAACCCAAGGAACTGCTCAACCCACTTGTGCTATAAAAACATTCTACAGGTAAGGTTATTAGCTTTCTAAATGAATCTTCCTATGTAATGATTATCTAGGCTAAGTGCTCAAGAATGAGCTGTATGACAGAGGCAACTATGGCCAGAGATTGGCCAAGAAAATACTGACCACCATCATCCTAAACAGTGAACAGAACAATACCTCATCACAGGTGATGAGTAAGCTGAAAAGCTCCCTCAGCCCCTCCATGGTCCTATAGCCCTCTGTGTGATCAGTGCAGCCTGCTCTGACAGCAGCATGGTGGCAATGCCTGGCTAAGGCTCCTGAACTCTCTATCAGTTACCGCTTGTCATCATTCAGGAAATTTCGCTTATCTCCAATCTGGGTTTTGGAGCCAGTTCTGCATCCAGTACCTGCACTGTTATAGAACAAGGTGCATGGGAGCAGTCAACTACCTGGCCAGAGGCAAGAGTGTCTGGTACAGATCCCAGAGGCAATCAGTGTGATTAGAGTCTAGTTAGTGGCTTTGGCCAGGTGTAAAACTAGTTGCTGAGGGCTATAAAAATGAAGACCCAAAGGCCAACAACAGCAAGCTGGCTGCCCAGGTCTGTCTGATTTCTTCACCAAACATCTCTCCTGAGTCCTTATCCTAATACGGTTCCAACAAGCACTCAAGTATCCTTGAGCTGTTAAACTGTCTCTCACATTTTCATATCTTCAAGAACATGCCCTACTGGATGTTAGGATGGTCTGTCTTCGACACCTGCCAACCCATCGGTCGACCACCAGGGTTGATTCGGCCGAACTGGCTGGCTAGGTGGGTGTCCCCTTCCTCTCTCACTGCTCCATGTGTGTCCCTCCCAGAGCTATGCACTTGGTCAGAGGATCACCACCTCAATAGAGGAGGACCATTTCCTGGGTCAAGGGTATATGAGTAGCTGTGCTCCCGCTAGAACCTGCACACAAGCTCTCAATCATACCCCCCACACTCCCCATCATTGGGCTGTTTCTCAAGTCAAATCTTCTTGTTCATTGTAAACTTGTTTGTTAACTTCATTTACATGTGAAAGCCTTCATCCACAAAGGGACACAGGAGCAAGTGTGTTTGAATGTGGTTCCCTATGTGATCCTGGAATTTCTTCAAATCCATATTTACTCAGCTTCCTGGTCCCGGAGATGACCTGCTGCTCTTTAAATATATCATCACTTCTGTACCAGCCTCTTACACTCTTGCCCCTTCCTCTGAACACTCATACCCTGTTAAATTTAATTTTCCATCCCTGCACTCGGAAGGCTGAGACAGGAGGATCACTGTGAGTTTGAGGCCAGCTTGGATACATACATATAGTTTAGACCAGCCTAAACTATATAGTGAGACCCTGTCTCAAAAAAAAAAAAAACAAAACAAATCATCTTTCCTGGTCTGTGCCAATGCCACTTCCTTGAGAACTTCCTGACCAGCTCTTCTCACCACTTGTATTTCCTATAATTCATCCCCCTGTCATAGTCCTCATCACATCATGAGTTTACATATTTATTTCTATAAAAAGAGTGCAGTTTTCAAACAGAACACTGTCTTTTGTTTCTTAGTAGTTTATCAGCCTGGAAGTGGGAGGGGAGAGAGCTGTGGGTTGGGGTGGGGGCATGAAAACATTTTCCTGAACCTAATAAAATCATATAGTTCCTGGAGCACTGCCAGGGCCTCCACCCTTAATTCATCTTCCCTTAATTCATCAACTCTTCATACATCCCAGGTAAGGACTAATTTTAAAATTTTTACTTTATATTATTATATTAGATGTAAGGAATTCAACATTCAAAAGGTAAAGATGGAAACAGTGAAAATTCAGCCTCTCATCCTTGTATTTTAGTCACTGTTTTAGAAAACAGTAACATCCTGTACATACTGTTCCACACCTGGCTTTCCACTTAGAAAGTACACTATAGAGACAGATCCACAGTAGTATAAAAAGTCTCCCTCCTCATTTAGCAGCTGCCACTAAGGATATGTTAGATGATTGTGACCAGCCTCCTATTGATGGGAAGTTTGAGGTGTTTATCCTCATTTGTTTTTAAGAAAAATGCTACAATAAATTAACTCCACCTGTACAATTTTTCACATTTCTATGGTGTTGTGAGTAATTTTTCTAGTCATTTAAGCGCTTACCTTGGACTTACTGTGACGCCTCCTCCTTCTAGGACTCTACAATCAGGTGTACCACTTAAGCCTTGCTGATTT